TGAAGAAGGATTTCAAAGTCTATTTCTTTGCATATACACCTATACATAATACTAAATGCAATTCATGCATTGTTACAATGGTGATCATGAATTTTGGAATACTTGTATGTTCCACTTTTGCATGACATCACTACTCAGTTTCTTACATTAAAACACTTTTGTATTCAGTCGTGAGATTATACATACTACAAGTATATATTTTTAAGGAGAATATTTGTGATTAAATGTGGAGATTAAGTGAACTTGAATATGGTCACGTTTCCCTGGCTGTGATATTTCTGTCCATTCATAGAACCTTTTTTTTTTATTGCAGTAGAGTTTTATTACTCATTTCTGCTGTCTAGCCCTCAGATGCAGAATTCACATTTCCAAACATGAGTAAAGTTTTATGGCTGAGATTTACTTCATTCAACTTTGCTGTTCTTTAATAGGGGCATACTTTTCCTGTAAGGAAATCCAACCAATAAGGCTTGGGAAATCCAACCAATCAAAATGCGGCTCCATGGAAGCTTCCTGAGCTCAAGTGCGGCCTGGGCTGATGGAAAGCAAGAGGCATCTTAGGTATCACTGGAGGGTAAATATGTAGCATCTTCTTTCTAAAATGATAATAACAAGCGCTCATAGATTAAATGCAGCAGACTCTGATTAGACCGAGGGGTCATTTATTCCTAGCAATGTTTTATAGCATTGATGTGTGTCTTTTTGTCTTCCACACTGATGAACTTCACAAGGAAAGAGCTCAATTTCGGGTTTAGGTTGTAGGAGGTGTGTGAGATCAAGTTCAGCTGCAGCTCCCACTTGGGCATGTCCATGTCTACAGGAACAGCTGCGCAGAGAGGGCCAACTGAAGGGGTGCGGGTGCTGTCTCGTGCTATCCAAACACACACCCAGGGCTCGGGGCTGTCCACGCAGAGCCAACACTTCAGGAAGTTAAACCACCCATGAGCTTGTCACCTTAAGTAAAGGGCAGCTATATACTTAGATTTCTCTGATAATTTTTGTACTCTTCTTCAACTTCCTGGCTACCCAAGACTCTTCCTATAGCAGCCATGTTCCTAAAAGTTTCCTTCATCACATCTCTGTAGAGCCTCTTTTGAGGTGGATCAAGCAAAGTCCACTCCTCCACAGTGAAGTTCACAGCCACATCCTCAAAGGTCACTGACTCCATTTCGTGGCTTCAAGGTGTCACGGAGTCCTTCCCACGCAGCGTGCAGCCAGCAGAAGTCACAGAAGGTGGCTTAGACACCGAAGGCGCCGGGCTCTCTGCAGTACCCTCCAAGCGCAAACTTTGGCGCCATGACAGTGGAAGACTAGGATCTTAATTAGGATTCAACCATAGATTCAATTACAGATTATAATGAAGCCCAAAATCTCACCTATGAAATTTAGTTTAAGCATTAGTTTTTAAGCACTAGTGTATATTAGAGTAGCCTAAGGACCTAATAAAGAACCTAAGGGCTAGGCTTTCTTAGGTAGGTTTATCATGTTGTTCATGTGATTTTGATACACAGAAAATCTTGAGAACAAAGTCCTTACAATAGTAGGGTCCTCAACCTTACCTGTACATTGGAATCACCTAGAAAATTGCAAAAACAAATACCAATGCCTGTACCCAACCCCCTCATATCTATTATTTTATTCTGAATGAGGCCTGAGCCTCAGGAATTTAAGTGTCCCCCAGGTGATCCTGGTATGCAACCAAGTTTATGAACTACCATGAACAGTAGCCAGGTTTGATAAGTGCATTTAGAAGCCAAGAACTTGAGGACAACAAGTAAGAATTTAACAAAAAAACAAATTGTGAGATTGAGAAATACAAAAGGCACTATTTTTCATCTTCACAATTCTGTCCTAGTTCAGCCCTACCCATACATAATCAGTTATAAAAGAAAGAAATAAAAGATCATCTTGTTAATCTAAAATTTAGCTGATCTAAAGAGGGGTTATAATAATGACAGGAAGTCTTTCATGGAAGATATACAATATGATTTCTAAGCTGTTCACCCCAAACTTTCAAAGGCAATTGCAATGGTGGAAAACCTGGCACAAGCAAAGTGTTGCAGCATGAAAGACGAGCAAAACAAATTCTCTGGTTTTAAGAAGTTTTTTATCCATGAGAGGAAAGAAAACATCCGCCCACACTGCATAAGACACAGAAATCATAAAAATTTGTAATAAGGAAAAAGCTCTCTGGAAGGTCCAGTGAAGGTTCTGAAAAAGAAGAAACATTTGATCTGAGTCTTGAAAGATGAGAAAGGTTCTGATAGCTGTATGTGGGAGACATTTCTGAGACAAAGAACAAAATTACTTAGTCATAGAGGTTTTAAAGTTTCAAGTACAATTTTTAAAAAAAAGGTTATAACCTAGACAGATAGAACCATGTCAGGGAGGAAGCAATATGCTGAGAAAAGTCAGTAATTTCTGAGCTCACTGTAAGCTATTAGTTAAATAATGGAGGAAATGTGAAAGGATTTTTGAGTATCATTAAAACTAGATTTGAAGTAATTAACTCAGGAAATGTGTGAGGTAGACCACTGTGGGAGGAATTTAAAAGCACAGAGACAGCAAGCCTGTTGCAAGATACCTATGCAAGATGCAGAAGATGCAAAGAAATAATGAGTAAAGAAGAGAGACTGAGAAACATGACTCAAAGATTTCTAGTCTGTGAAGCAGAAATAAGAGCTGTTATGATGAACATGAATAGAAAGTCAATAGGAAGAAAATGCCCGGAGGTGAAATTTGATGTTGCGTTTTAGTCATGCAGAAAATATGCTGTAAAATGTTAGAAATGTGGGCTTTGGTCAAAACAGAGGTAAAGGCCGGAGTGGCTCTTTAATTTTGGGGTTCTCAAGTATCCTCTTCACCATCTCTACTGCTCTTTCAACTTCTTCCTAACTAATTAACTGTGAATATTTACCAAAACTTACTGTCTCAGTTGCTCTCAGAGAGAAGTTCCAAAATGGCTGAGCAGAGGTACCCTGTGCGTACGTCCTCCACGGACAAGACCCAGCACAACAAAAAGATTACTGTAATTAAGAAGAATGCTGGACCCATCACCTGAGGAATGGTTGAGAAAGATGTGGTATTTTTACACAATGGAGTATTATTCAGCTATTAAGAATGATAAACTGCAAGCCTTT